ATTATTTTATGGAAGACATAAAATCATCACTTCCCGGCTGCATGGCCGACTAACCGCAAAATTGTAACACAAATTACTTTTGTTTGCTCCGGGCTTCGGGTCGTGTTCGCTTAGCGTATCGGTTCAAAAAAGTTAAAGCTCGCGCCGTCATGGGAAGCGATCGACTTTTACCAACAGGAGTTGTGTGGTTTGCATTCACAACTCGGAGGAACTTTCCGATTAATGGGCTGATGCTCGTTTTACCCACGTCATTTGGTTTATTTATTCTAACTTCAGTGTTTGCTGCGGTCTGTCGGTTACATGCATCCACATAAACTTGCAGCACATGGCTTTCCGCAACGGTATGTAACATATTAAATAAGACGGATACATGCATACCGTCGAAAATAATGCTTGCAATTTTTTTTCTCCCATAGCTAACGCTGAGAACCTATTTACTGATTGCGGAGGAGATTTTTGGGATGGTGGAGGGTATGAAAAGAAAGAGAGCAGAGAGCAAAGAGGAAATTATTCCGGGAAAAGTCTTTGACGAATTCCCTGAAACAATCGGTCCGAATTGAAACCTGTATGACCATAAACACATTGGCATAGCAAATAGTTTTTTTTCTTAACTTCGAGAGAGTGCAAGTTATTTTTGGCATGATGACAGCTTTTGAAGAGAGTACATTGTAACTTATGACTGGTGTGATTTCGGTTTCGGTCCAAAACTGAGCCATTTGTAGTCGAAAGAATAAAAATAAAATATAAAAATTCCAAATAGAAACCTGCAGACTACATGATGGCTGAGAAATAATTAATAATTTTTAATAATAAAATAATAATATTTTTGGAATTTTATTTTTATTCTTACGACTGAAAATGGCTCAGTTTTGGGCCGAAACGTCTCGGATTTTTATGTGTATTAGCCTTGTTTCCCGTTTTTTCTCCTATGTTTTTAATATCACCATTGTCACGGGCTGCTGTTATAAAATTTTAACCTATATGATCTGCACTGAGTTACAGAGAGAAAGTACTGTATTTTAGTTTTGTACCTCGGCGGAAAAAGGAAAAAAGGAAGGGAAAAAATGGGGGAAAGGAGGGAAAAATCGAAGTTCTGTCCTTCGTTTCGGTGTTTATTATTGGATAAAGATATCATTGGATAAAGCGTTGGACCTCTAGTTGCTCTCCTAGCCCCGGCTGTACCGGGCGGCATTACGACTATGACTTCCTGTTCCGGTAGCCCATTTTTCGCGACTGCTCCCGTAAAAAAGGAGGGAAAGCGGGTGGCGGACACACATAAATTGTTCGACAAACGGACTCCGAAACCATTTCCCTCCGCCTCGATAATCTATTAATGGCCATTTGCACCTGTGCGTTTTAAAGCGAGCTTTTCACGGCTTCCCCCTCTCCCCCCCCCCCCCTGCTTCGTAAGCTGAGTGGACAAGTGGCCTATATATATAATTAATACGAATTTGGCGTGAGGGAGGAGGTCGGCGCGAGGTGCTGTGTCGGCAGTAGCGCACAATGGAGAAAAGAAAGTGAAGTTGTTCGCGAACACCCGTAGCAAGTCGTTAATTCTCCGTATCGACTGTCAAAGGAAATGTGGGTCCGTTACGATAAAGTAAATAGCTCCGCGGACAGGGTTGTCTTTTGGGCGTCGTTTTGGATTTTTTCTGCGAGGGTAGCCATTTTTTTTATGAAAAAGTGGGTCTCATTGTCATGTGGCAGTCCGGAGACGTATCGTGAAAAACCTGCTCTGAACCACGAGGGGTTGTTGGATGATATGAGCATTTCTTATTCATTCTGGTGGTACCCCAATTAAATTTGATAAGAGAGAGATGAGACACAATAGCCCGAATGCACACAACAATAAAAACACATTAAAATAGATAAGCAAATGAGTATACAAGGCTAAGGAATGATTCCTACTTCGGTCAGTTGCATGCTTATTTTCTTGTTTTGATTTTTACATTTTTCAGCATTTTTCCAGTTGAGAATGGGGATGTAATTGGCCCGAAACGTCCTGATGTGTTTTATATCTCCTTAGCAGTGTATACCAATTTGTTATTGTATTTTAATGTGTTTTTATCGTTAAATTTGATAGTGTCCCAATAAATTAGGCTACTAACCCAAACGTTGCCGTATTACCAAAACTTGAGTTGCGGTGCTACTACAACTAAATGGAAATGCCCATTAAAATAAATCAACCACCCAACGAATTGGGGAAGTGCAACAATTTTAGAGGATGACCCTTAACACTTTTTTCCGTGTAGTGAAGCTATTTTCGGATTTGTGGGGATAAGGCCCTGGAGTTAAAGAAATGTTATTTTTTAGTTTTTTATAATGATCAGCTATTTTTTAGTTTTTTATAATGATGGAAGTCGAAAATGACATCGTGTTCGACGTCATGACCAAACAACTTGTTTGGTATGGTCATGTCAATAGGATGACGGAAGAGAGGCTGCCAAAAAAGATGCTTGATTGGGTTCCTCCTGGGAGGAGACGTAGGGGACGCCCAGTGAGAGGTTGGCGACAGGGGGTGTTAAATGAGATAAGAGATTGTCAACTCCCTGATGACCTGTGGGAAGACCGAGCTTTGTGGCGATTAGGCGTCGCACAGCGCCAAAGAGCGCTATAAAAGCGACTCATGTATGTGTGTGTGTGTGTGTGTATATATATATATATATATATATATATATATATATATATATATATATATATATATATATATAAATGATCAGCGCGGTAGAGTACGGTATGGCGTGAGAGCTGTAGTTGAACTGACGACCACACTCCCCCGATTTTTGACTAACCGTTAATACTTTTTCGCGTCACTATATTTCTATGGAAAATTTCAGCCGAGCTTATCCCATCGTTCTAGAAGTATTAAAAGTTTGTAAAAGATGATTTGAAGCTCTCCGATTACGAAAATAATTTTTCCGCCTGCATTATGTACCTATAATAGAATACCGAATAATAGAATAACCGTTTGCACCGTTATACTTAGGAAACTGTAGAGGGCTAATTCGGTCCAAATCACAAAATACAATATTTGACCGAACGGGGCGAAAATAGCTCTACTGAGAACTTGACCACCGTGCAATGAGGGATTCTTTCCCGTGATCGGTCTGTACTATAAGTATGCATGTAATATTTATGTATGTGGCAGTAATCATTTTTAAAAAAAATTCAAAATATTGATGGTTTGTAAGTTCGTAAAACCATGTTTTAATAATATCATCAGGAATATGTTCAAAAATACTTTTTAGAACGTATTTGCAGTAATATTAGCATCAAAAATAACCTGAAAATCTGGAGGTAATTTAAAAATATTTCTGAAACGTCACCAATTTACAGAGGAGGCTGTGTTTGCCTTCATTTCAGTAAGTCGGCAAACATGACGGGTATGTGTCTTTATGATATTTATTCACACAGATTAATTACTATAAATCGACCTCAAAAGGAGCTCTAGATGTGGAAGTGCACTATTCACTGCGCGTGCTGCACTATGCCATCGTGCTCAAGAAGAACGCCGTATGAACACTCGAGAGTTGCCAAATTGCCCCGGACACAACATGTATTATTAAAGAAAATTATGTCTTTCTTCCTTGAAATGTTCAGACGTTTTAGGTAAAATTGCGAACTAAATTACTTTGAAAAATCGAAGAAAAATGTCAACGATTTTCCTATAAATTAGGTTTTTATTAACGGAAATATGGCAGCGTCTGAAGGCTCATACGGTGTTTTTCCTAAGCACGGCAGTACGGTACTATGCACTGGCTTACATGGTGAGCTCGTGACATCTAGTTAGGATTATTATCCGCCCAAAGTGGCAACCTAAATCCACCACTCGAGATGAATTGAGCTCTTTGTTTCCACTTAAAAATTACTTTTTGAACACTTCGCGCCCGTATTTTCCTTGGAATGGCTTTTATTTCTTTTGGATTTATCAGAATCAACCTCAGCGCCGTAAAATAACCCGCGCGGTTACGACACACCGCGGCAGTTTGAAACTCGGAAAAAAATCCGATCGTAAAATTCTTTCACAGCTCCGTTAAAGACCGACGGAGTAGCGCGGTTGAAATTTGAATCAAACGAACTTTTAGCGGAAAGGTCCCTATATCCCAGCGGAGATAAAAGTATTGCTTCGGCCATAAATGTTCCGAGGCTGTTAGATTCGATCTTATTTTATTATTATAATATTTATATTTCGACGTTGAAGCACCCAAACCACATATCTCGTTTGCGGTGTTTAAAAATCTTGGCTGGTATTTTATTTTTCAAAGGAAAGAAAATCAACATAATTCTGTGAAGTTTTCACAAAATTTTCCTCGATAAGAAAAATCGCGACAGTTTTTGAGAATTATTGTTGAGTAGTTTCCAATAAAAAGATAAAGTATGTCAAGAAGTCTGCAAAGTCGCAAATCGAGATGTGTGGTTTGGAAGTTTCACCGTCAATGTGTAAATTTAACGTTTTAGCCTATTCGGGCTTTTCTTTAAAGATCTCTCATACCTAAACGGTAGTAAAAATGTTTGTTTTGTTTACTCTTTCAAAAAAATTGAGGAGGAAAAGAAGAAGGAAGGAGAAAAATAGCAAGTGAATGTAAGCAGTGTAAGCTACCTCTACAACAAAATCTGCTGACTACTTAGAAGTGTTTTAGTTTTCATTCCATACCTACTAGATTTTTTGGAATAAAAACCGACAAAAAAAGAAAGAAAAAATTAAATGTAAAATCTTTTGAATTTATATCTCTAGTGCCAAAAGAACAATTTCTTCACATTTTTTGTAGGAACTAAGCGGAGTGGGGAGGCACTATTTTCATCACATCTGTTTCCGTGCCCTATATCTAATACTACTTCTCGTAAAAAAAAAAAATTATTTGCGTCGTCCATTTTGTCATTATCTTGTCCAAATCTGAGCCTGGTGGCTTATGAGTTAATTTTCAGCTAAGTCATCAAATCCCTTGTAAGGATATGCTTCTTCAAATTCTACGAGGAAAAATTATAAATCATAAACTCACCTGAAAATGATATGGTAAAGTTTCCTGGGGTAAAGTTGGTCGTATAGTTCCTTGGCGAAATTCCAAAAAACACTGTTTCAACTTATCTTTAGAGCTCTAATACTTAGTGGAAACAAAGTTGAAATCACTTCATTTTTTCAAATATAAACTGAGAACAGAAAATCGCGTCACACTAAAAAATGAGTTAAGGCTCCTCATTCACATTTTCCAAAAGTGCACCACAACCTTTATTCAAATCCAAACACAAATAGTGTGACTGACAGGGATCACTGATATTTGGAATCAAGGTAAGAGACTAAAATGAATCTTCATCGACACAAGAACGTTTGAATTTTGAACTTATAGAACTTGGAAGAATTATACATATAGTATATTTTATAAAACGCACAAAAGTGTGCAATTTTCCATCACAAATTTTTGTTCACCCCTCAATGGAGCAAAAACTAAAATATTTCTTCCAAATTATTGAAAATAATTGAAAAAAATAAAAATAACGCGCACTAACCCGTTCAAAACTTTCAGCTAAAACTAAACTTTGCAAGTAGGCAATTTTTCAGGCCTCAATAATTTTAAAATACACAAGAAAGTACAGCTATAGAGAAATTAATCCTTAACAACGCTCAGCCGACACTCAGGGCCGTTTGATTTTTCAGCTGAATTTTCTTGAAAAAACTTAATAGGTTCAAGAATTCAACCAATGGCCATCGGTCCCTCGGAGAAAATGCATGGGTATCACAAATTTCTGGAGCAAATTAGAGCTTGACGACCAGTTAAGCGTCTTTAAACGGTTCCAAATGGAAGGCAACCCGCAGTGATAAAGAAGCCCAGGGTTATTAGGGTAGGTAGGGCATGTTCCTCTTCGATGCCGGTGTGTGAAGGGATGCGAAAGACGCGAGATACCGAAAAGGGGCCGCGCGTACGTCCCGTGTTGCGGCCAAGTCGGAACTGAAGGGATGGGACGGCAGGGTTCCTGCGTGTTCACGAGGGCCGGATTCAGCGCCCGTGCGCCGGCGCCCGTGCAGAATTTGCGCGAGCCTCATTCTTTCTGAGAATTGGCACTATTTTTTGATAAGTTACTGCATCCACCATGAAGCTCATAAAATTGAAATTTGTTTATTTTTTGGATCTCTCTGAATGTCCGTTTGAAGCAAGTAAAGGATCACGTGAAGCTTAGAAACGGTGTTCGAAACTCACCTTTGAGTTTCAGGAGCCATGTAGCCCATCAAGCTCGATTTTTAGGGGACATCGAACATTTAGTGAAAAGTTAGAATACGGTACCGTGCGTCGAAACAAACAACCACCAAACAGAAGAATTAGGTTTTTTTTTGAGTGGGGAGAGGGGCAATTTTTAGGGGCTACGTTGGCGCAGAGCCTTCATTTTTAAGGCGTCATGACCACTTTTTAAGGTGCATTTGCCGCGTTGGCGCTTGTGAGTTTCGAGCACTGGGAAATAACAATTTTAACGTCGCGGATTGTTTTAAGGGATGAAATGCTACACATTTTGAGCAATGAAACAGAGTAATTCGCTATAAGATATCAAAGTTTGAATTGTAGCATCTTTGAACGTTAACAGCAACATTTATTGAAGCTTCACCACATTCAGGAAGATAAATAAATGAATGGATAAATGTGGACAAATAGGAGTGAGACTATTTCGGTCATTCCTAGAGAGACACTTTTCAGAGAGGAGTTCTCGTAGATATAAATTAAAAAATCGATAGGTAAGTTTTAGGCAGAAAATTATTTTCTGCATCGCAAAAAATAAGTCATGAATAATTTAAATCACTATCGTGCCGTTTAAAGGTTTGACGTCACATTTTCACACAATATAAATTATGGTACCAGTTTAACTACAAAGAATTGCAAGGTTGCGGGATTGCCTCCTCTTTGAATGTCCATTGCACAGTAGCGTTGGAAACTTTTATTTTAACAATACACCAAAATCAAACCTTTCAGAAAATATCAGGTCTCTTACTTATGTATAAGGAGAAGATCAACACGGTAACAAACGTTTACAACTTCCTAAATACTGCTCTGAAACCATTCGATCGTTTGTACGTAATGAATGAATAGAAAATATTCATTTGTTAAGAAATGAAAAATGACTGTGAAAAATTTGCTTGAAAAATTTGTTTGAAAAAGTGGTTAAATCCCCTTTATAAAACCCACAAAGGGTATTAATAAAGTAATTATCTATCTATCTACCTCGCCGATAGGTTGCAAATGTTATTTTTTTTCTTTTTTCCCCCTTTTAATCCTTATTGCTAACATTGAGTCGTATGGAAGAATAAAGCTTCAAACCTCTCTTTCTCAGTCCAAATTCAGTACGACTTGATTGCATCCTCTTGTTTTCCAGAAAATAACATTTCCAGCATTTTTCCACGTTGTTGGCGCCGCTAGCGTCACCAATATTTAGCCTTCATTCCGTCAGCTAGGCAAGCCACCCGCATCTCATGTCGCGCCGCGCGCCTAGTTCCGCCGCGGCCCGCCCGATCGCGCTGCGGGCTCTTTATTCGCCCCTCCGGCTTTCCTTTAAATATTTAAATTATTTTCTTTATTATTTTGCCTGTTTCAATATGTAAAATTGATCTTTGATTACTTCTCTCTATAAATTCTAAATTATAATACTCACCGGCGCCTTCTGTCACAACGTTTCTCAACTTAAACTACGCGTCCGCGCAATTCCTTCGCAAATCTAATTTGACCGGTTGGCCCGTGTGCCGTATCTAAATTATGCACCACCTACCACTCTTTGGTAGCGTCTATGGGTATGTTCATTCGCCCCGCATATGTCTTTCATGCGCCTTAACCTTTCTTCCTAAAGCAGTTACGTCTTTTCATTCAACTAAGTGAGTATGTATTCTAAATTCACCTTCTTTACTCTATCTTTTCCAATAATAATAATTTCATGTCAAATTTCGGCCTTCTGCCAATAAATAATTCCTTTCGGTCTCTAAATTCATTCGCGTTACTCGTGTCCGGACACGATTGCCTGCGGTCCGGGTGCCGCGGATGAATTCTTCCAAATTTCAATAAAGTAAATGTTCGTCTCTCTCTTTAATTAGCTCCCTCGCGCTACTCGTGACCGGTCACGATTGCCTGCGGTCCGGGTGCCGTGGACGACCCTTTCGGCTAATCTTTCTAGAAGACCTTCATTAAAACTTTCACACGTAAAGACGGCTGTAAGATTTTTTATGAACATATCTGTATCGTTCAACTAACGAAACAAAACTAGTCACGCTCAACTAACCTACTTCCGATTTGCAATCAAAATGATTGTATGAATTGGACTGAAATTTTTTTTCTCTATTACCCCTCTTTTTTCTCTCTTTCTTTCTCATGTTTATGCTACCCGTCATGCAGCTCGGAACGAGAAATTTCCAATCACCGCGATGGTTTGTTTGACATGAGACAAGTATCACGTGCCTAAATATCCCGCAATTTAATGAAACCTCTTGACATGGAGTACTTAAGGTTGATATATATCCATACGCAATCAAAACACGTCATCTCCGCAAAGTGAGAAAGGGGAAAACTGGATCAGAGAATGGAGAAAATACGCTGGTCTCCAACGTTCAGTCTAGTGACCATAGAAGACAAGGATTACCATTTTGACCCAAGGTACTCAGATTTTGCGGCCTTAATACTTATAGCGTTTTCAAACACTTTTTTCAGAACTAAATGTTTTTTCTCCCCCCCCCCCCCCATTTTTTCTTCATTTAAATTCTTACATTTGACTTACCTATGGTAAACGCTTTTAAATTTAAATGATATTCCATGCTTTTTTCAGTAAAAAACAGGAAATAGTATTGTACATCTTGCAAGGAAACATGCGTAAACTAAGCAGTTTTCGTGATTGGATTCATATATAAAAAAAAAAAAAAAAATGTTGGTTTTTCACTTCCTTTTTTCACATTCATTCTGCACAAATTTTCCATGCACGTGATTCTGTCGTCGGGCAACTTAATTGCCTTCCCGCACTCAAAAACTTTTAGTCAGTGTCAGCTAATGTGCTGTATTGAAAAAAAGAGAGGAAAGGAAAATGAGGACAAAAGGAAATGGAAACATCAAATATACTGAGGTGGCGCATGTCCCAAAAATAAACCGCCTAGCTGCATATATTGGTAAAACCAGTGGCGTGGCGTGCTTAGCGTTATATCGATTGATCGACCATTTAAACTTATGGAAAAGTATCGATAAACAGGGTGTTCGCAGCGAACATCTTAATAATCGATTATTTACCAGTTTCAAATGGGGAAATATCGATAGATTGCAAAGCACGCCACGCCACTGGGTAAAACTGGAAGAGCACGATACAGAGAATCTCTGCCATTCTTTTTTTTTCTCAGTATATTATATATTTTTAGAAGCACATGTTGGTTTTCAGAGAATGTTTTTTGGAAGGCAAAAAAAAAGTAAAAAGCACAGAAAAAAACCCTCGTGTTATTTCCCATACGAATTAAAAATTGGCACCAGCCATAATGGAAACAAAGGCAGGAACCAACAACGACGACTGAGGAAGACTTAAAATCATCGCCTTAATAGTAAGGGAAACCGCCAGAATAGTAATTCATTTTGAATTTTTCAAATTTAAACTCTCCTCTTTCTCTTTAGGTATATCGACCAGGGGCGTGGCGTGGCGTGCTTTGCGATGTATCGATTGACTGTCATTTAAACCTATGGAAAGGATCGATAAACAGGGTGTTCGCAACGAACACCGTAATGATAGATTCTTTACCGTACCTCCAAATGAGAAAATATCGAAAATCGATCATTCTCGCTTTGCCACTGATATCGAAACTGCAGACTTTCTGTCATATTTCATTTTTAAATGGAACACAATTCAATGGCAAGTCTGAAAAACTGCTGTGATTTTTTTTCAATGTGCAACGAAAATTCTGTGAATATTTCAAAGAATGATGTTGCTTTCTTTGCTTTTTATAAAATAAAATAGGAGCAGACATTTTAAAACACCGCACACGAGATACTTGTTTTGGAAGTTTCACCATCGATGTGTTTTAAAGTGTCGCAGAGGTCCGTTGCATTCGTTTGGCCCATTTAGGTAGGACTTGGTGTCCAAATCTCTCACATATCGAGGATATGTTTTGAAAGGACTAAATACATAGAGAAATTCTGTAAATGCGCACATGTTAGATGCATCACACTGAAATGAATCGTTTCTTCCCAAACTGAATCAAAATAAATTTTGAAACATCGTTTCTTTGATATTCTCATTTTCACTGTCGGAAGTACGAGTAACAGTTCTCTTACACAAGTAAAAGTATCAATCTTAGTTGCTCTGGTCACGTACAAAATATACGGCTCAAAGTGAGCGCTAATACTGTACTGGGAAAAAAAAGACATTGGATCTAGAATCCAGACTCTTAAAATCATCGACAAGAAAAAGTACTATTGATTCAATCAGAATCTAGCTTAAATCAAGAACCAAGCCTCTTAATTTAAGCGGATTTCGTTTTGATTCAAGGAAAAATCCGATTGAATCAAGAGTATTTTTTCTTGTCCATGTTTTCAAGAGTCTGGACTCTAGATCCAATGTGTTTTTTTTTTCCAGTGTGATTGTGTCAATCTGCTCTTTTTGCAGCCATGCAAAACTAACGAGAAAGAAACAGCCTCTCGCATTGTTGTGAAATAGAACAGAAATTCCTGAATTCTAGTATGGGATTTGGAATACGAATGCTAAAACGGAAGCCGGCAAATGCATGTTACATACGGTAAAAATGCCAGAATGCGTAACTCGGTTGCGGTTTTTCGAAATCCCCCCTTCCATTTTATTTTTTAAAAGGAGACTGAACCAACTCTATGGCTTGAAGTTTTCATAGAATATTTTTTATAAAGAGAAAAAAAATCACTGAAATTTTCAAAAAATGAAGCTCAGTAGTTTTTGACGTAAAAAAATAAACTATGACAGGAAGTCTTGTAACGCCGCAAACCGAGATACGCATATCTGCAGTTTCATCATCGACATAGGCAAAAACGGAAATTAATCTAACTAATAAAAGGGAAATACATTGATCATACATTGATCCATCA